GGGCGTGGAGCGGGTGGCCTGGCTGTCCCCAAGTTGGAGCTGATGACTGTGTGTCTCGCAGGCGTGGAATGTCACCCACACATCCTGGAGACCGGAGTGGGGAGTTTTATGATGGTTTTTCATTGATTTGTTTCCCCAGCGCAGCTGCCGACCTCTATTGAGGGACAAACATAATCAGCACTGACGCAAATTAGATGGTTATTCGTTTTGAAAATTGACAGAAAAACAATAAAAAAGATGAAATGCTCCCAAATCAATAGATATAATGAAATTCAAATAATCCGAGAGATGAGGTCTCCATGGCAACTGATAATGTGGAAAAGAAAACAATTTAATAAAGGACAGACACACTTTGAAAACAGATTGGGCCCGGGGAGGGGGGCGGCGGGCGGAGGGCTGAGCGCGGCTGGCGAGCGAGTGAAGGATCACTGTCCGTCCCAAGGACACCCGCCATAATTAAGCGAGGCTTTCGGCCCCAGAAAGTGCAGATTCAGGTTTTAATACACAAAATTATTTCAGGAGCAGTGAATCGGAAAGTCGTTTGTAATGACCTTCCTGAGAGGCCCGGGCGCGGGGCATGTTGGAGGCTGGGCGGCCGGCCGGCTGAGTTATGGCATATTTGTGTTTTTATAGTGCGGAGGGGAGGGGGCGGGGGGAGGGGAGAAGGTTAAACAGTATTTACAGCTCAGTTGTTTTCAGAGAGGAAAGAGAAATAGAGTTCACGGGAGATGCGGCGGGCGGCGGGCAGGTGAGCCGGGAGGCCAGGAGAGGTGGGCGAGGTGGGCCTGGGCGGGCCTTCCTCCCCGCCGGCCCTCGGATGTGCTGCCCCCAGAAGAGCACCTGTCCAGGACAGGTGACACCTGGGCAGGGGGCCTCAGCCAGGAACGCTGGGTCTCCTGCGGGGACCGCAGGACCTCTGGGCCGTCCCGGAGCCTCCGTCGCCCCCGCCTCTGTCTGTGCCCAGGCCACCCACCCCCACCCGGCGTCTGCTGCGCCCACACTGGCTCGGCCGGCAGGAGCTGGGCCCTACGCCCGCTCTGACCCCACACTGGGGGGGGGGGCGGCGCACCCCGGGGGTGGCCCTCCCGGGACGGGCGCTCTGGTCTCGCCTGTCCCTCTCAGGGCTGCCCCCCGGGGCCTCTCCCCCGCCGCCCGCCCTGCAGGGCCAGAGGGCCAGGCCCGGGCCCCCGCAGGCTGAGGCGAGAGCCCCCAGATGGCGCGGCGTGGGCCGCGAATCGCTGAGGTCTTCCTTTTCCGAGCAGCGCGTTTCCCTAAATTGTCTCTGACTGCGTGCATGGGTAATGAAAGTTTATGCCCTTGTTAGAAGGACAGGCGGCCAGTTCCAGTTAGAACTGGGGCTGTCTCCCTGCCAGCCCCCCGCAGCCCCCCTGCCCACAGGAGAGAGCGTGTGCGCGCACGCCCCTCCCTGGCGGATAAGGAGGCTGTTAGGGGAAGGGAGAGGGGACGGGAGAAAACAGAAAAAAAATTTCCATATTTGTGTAAGTTGCTTTAAAAGCATTTTATCATGTCATAAAAAAGGGAAAGTACTCTCAGAAATTGATCCTCTCCGCCAGCCCATTGGACAGAAGGACGTTGGGATGTTAATGGCCATTCTGCTCCAGGGTGGCTTATTAAAAAATTTATACATAAATGCTTAAAATTGCATAAATTATTTAAAAAAAACCAACAAAGTAAGCAATTTGAATTCCCTCTTTTCCTCCCTCCGTGCGTCCCCCTTCTGCGTCCCCTCTTTGCCAGCCCCCCG